GTATAAACATTGCAATACTTTGTGTGAGTGAACTAAAATAGACAAGAATGGGACATGTTCAATCAAATAATCCCAGTGCTTTACTCTTGAAGTAACAATTTAAGAAGAAATGGGATGGTATTAATAGTGAAATGTGACATGGCAAATGCAGTTAGGCTGTAATGCAAAGTCTGAGTGAATAATATCAATAAACTGCATGGAAAACCTATAAATATAACCATAATCCATGTTTATGTGCCAACTACAGAGGCAAAAAAAAAAAAAAAAAAAAAAAAAAGAAACTGAAAGATTCTGTATTGGTGTCCAGGAAGAAACTGACCACATACCAAAAGAGGGCAGGATAATCATCATAGGTGACTGGAATGCCAAAGTAGGAAACAGAGTAGAACCAAATATTGTTGGAGAATTTGGCCTCAGATCAAGAAAAGAAGGAGGAGAGCAACTTTCTGAATTCTATGAAGCCAACAGTTTGCTCATTGCAAATATATTTTCAGGGAACTGAACAGATGGATGTATATATGGATATCACCAAACAGCCAATATGTTAATCAAATAGTCCATGTAACTGGAAGAAAAAGACAGAAAAGCTCCACTGTCTCTGCAAAAACACCAGGAGAAAAGTGGGTCACAAACCATGAACTGCTAATATCACAAAGCCGAGTAAAGCTAACAAAGTATATTAAATCAACCATCATACCAAAATACAACCTGAAAAGCATCTCCTTAGATTTTAAAGACAATGTAAAGAACAGTAGGAAAAGAGGAGGATCACATTAGGAGAATAGGAAAAGAAGAGGACCGCAGTATAAGTGGTTTGACTCAATCAAGGAAGCCACAGCTCTGAGTTCAAAAGACCTGAGCAGGGCTATTGATGACCAGCACTGTTGAAGGTCTCTCATTCATAGGATTGCCACAAATCAAAGCCAATTTGACAGCAAAGAACAATAGCAACAACAATCAAATGTATCTATCATAGTTTCCTGTTTAGCACCCATCTTGTCTTTCTTTCAGCTGCTTATTTACACGGAAGTATAAGCAACATCAACCAGAGGATGAAGGAATGCAGTGCTATTTTATAAATATAAAATTGCCCAATGCTCTTCTAATTATTTTAATGGAAAGCAATAAAAGCAATAAAAGTAAGACAAAAATGGAATACAAACTCATCTATGCTCCTCAGTCAGTAACATAAAACCCTGTCTTGTTAGCATTCCTTTCTCCTCTAGTCTGAAGCAATTAAAATTTAATCCTAAAAGAATTTTAGAGGGCTATCCTATTTAAAAGACAAAACAAAAGATGACTGACAGTTATTTGCCACCGAAAGTAAACAAATTTATGCAGCTTACATTGTATGCTCTGGGATAAAAAAAATCAGGTAAAAGACATGTTCGCAATGCATTAGAAATTAGTCTCAATGACAAACTCCAGCTCTCTGCACCAGGAAAGCTGATGCACTGGCTAGACAGGTAGATATTAGGTGCTCAGGCTGTCTGGATGCTATGGAAATCACATTGTATGCATTTGACCATTGTCAATGGGACAAGACAAGTACCAAGCTCATTCTTATTCTAAGCCAGGAAGAGAACCTCATGTGCATTAGCCTTTTTGCTGAAAGGCTGCCATATTTGTCAGTTCAAACGTATGTTAAGATAAGCTCTTTCCCCCTTATCTAATATTTCACCAGGCAGTGGAACTAAAGGATAAGCAGCACCTAATAACCTATGTGGGCAGAAAATCTTCAGTGCTGTCAAGCTCAGCATAAAAGCTCAAAATGCCTGAGACAAGAAGTTCACAACAGGCATTCATTTCATTCCAAAGAGGAAGAAAAGTTCAATTAATCACTTCATTTGGAAGAAACCTTTCTAAGGAACTGAACAAACAGTTACAACATAGGACGAACCAGAAGACTAATATACAAGGCTTTTTACTGCACTGTTATTGTGTGTCTCCCACCCACTATGATAAGGCAGCAGTCAGTTATAAATTAAAGAGGGCTAAAAAAACAACACAGTGACACTGCTACAAGTGACACAGTGCCTGAAAAGCAAGAGAAATCAATGCAGTAAAAGGGAACAAAGAATGTTGCTTCTTGTTGCTAAATCTATGTTTCAGCTGAAAAATAATGAAATTGCTTTAAGAACTGGTGTAAGATACTGCAGGCAGAGGCATTTTTACTCAGGCAGTCCTTTGCCATGTAAACTGGTCCATTCCTGGAAGACGTTTAGCTGCTGGAGTGCTGGCTCTGTCTTTTATTCTTGTGTTTTAATTGTGTGGTGTTTGGTTTTTTCAGTTGACTAACTTTTATGTTACATCTTAGTTATGATTCCCCCCCCCCCCACACTGTAACAAAGTTAGATGCCTCAAGTGCCTTTTGATGAGGAGGGAGACAGAAAGGGGAGGGAATTAAATAAACCATAAGCACATATATTGCCACATTATATGTGTGTGTTATGTGCCTTCAAATCATTTCTGATTTATGGTGACCTTATCATGGGGTTTTCTTGGCAAGGTTTGTTCAGAGGAGGGTTGTCATTGCTTTTCTTAGAGACTGAGAGCAGGTGACTTGGCTAAGGTCACCCAGTGGGTTTCATGGCCAAGCTGGGAATTGAACCCTGGTCTCTAGAGCCATAGTCCAACATTCAAACCACTACACCATGCTGGCTCTCCAATTGCCACATTAGCTATGGCTTAGCTAAAGAACTGAAATAATCAATTCATTTGCAATGGGTTCACTTTGACCATTTAATACAAGTCTTTGCAAATATAACATTGGCTCAAAAACACATTGTGCTGTATTCGTCAGGAATTCTGATAGTGTCCAAGTAGGCATTTGTGTGAACATCTACCAAAACATCACCCAGCAATTCCTACAGTCAATATAGCCATCTTCATGGGTCCTGCTTTCTGATTCATACAACAGCTACAATATTCACACAAATAAATTTAAAAGGAACACAGGAGGCTGCTTTGCATTGAATCAGAACATTGGTTTGTCTTTTCTAATATGTTAGCACTGACTAGCCGCAGCTCTCCAGGGTCTCAGGCAGGATTCTTTCCTGAAACCATCTAGCACTAGGCTAGGATTTGAATTTGGGACCTTCTACATGCAAAGTATGTGCTCTGCCACTATATTCCAGGAACATTTTGCAAGCAGAGCAAAATATTTGGTGTGATTTCACCCCAAGAGCACAACATTCCACACACAGAAATCAACTTGCATCTCAGGTCACATTATACTAAAGCACAGTACAGTGGGCCCCAAGGACTAGCAAATATCAGGACGACCTGAGCTCATGTTCTGCACTGCAGGTCAAAAGCCCAAATGAGCTGTCTCAACTACTGATTCATTCACATGCCATTTTTCCAGGATAAAAAGATACAGGCTCAGTGAGAGAGTTCCGGATTAGTTTATGTACTTTAACCCTTGCTATTTTTTGGCATGAAATGTGAATGGTACAAAGGGTAACAGTCCTTCTGTATCCTTATCCCAGACCATAAACACAAATAAACACAGCACAAAGTCAAGAAACCAATGGCAATAATTTTACTCTATCCATAATGTACATTGTTTGTAGGCATTTACTTTTTTTCCCCTTTTAGGCCAAGCTCTTATGTCTGCAAATATTTGACATTTTCTGCAGCAATTAATAGACTACCTATATATTAGTATGAAAGACTTAACTAACTACACTGCTTATTTCTTCCCTGCAGGCAGTGGCACAAACCAATTAGATCATGGAACAAAATACAAAACAAAATCCTTTCAGTATTTTACTTGGCTCTGGAAAATGGAAGAACCCTCCCATATTATTGCATATTGAATCTCTTAAATCCCTCAAAAGTCTCAAGTGCAGCAGAAGAGCAGCTAAACAGAAGGTTGCTGGACTGCTTTAAGTTCTCTTAAATGTACAAGAATGTAGGCATTCACTAAAACCTAATTTCTTGTTGTTGCGTACTTTCATGTTGTTTCCATCTTATTGTGACCCTAACACAAGCCTGCCATGGGATTTTCTTGGCAAGATTAGTTCGGTGGGGAGGTTGCCTTTACCTTCCTTTGAGGTTGAGAGCATATGACTTGCCAAACGTCACCCGTGCCCTAAGCAGATGGGCCAGGATAGCAAGGGACAAGCCTGTGCTCTCCTGGCTCAGGACCCAATTCGGATTGGTTCCCAGGCTGGCGCAGGAAGAGGTGGGTGTTTACACACATGGACACTACCACACCACAGACCCACTACTGCCATGAACCCCTTAACTTCCTCTGCCATTGCTGCTAGTGAGAAGACCACAGAAACTGCACTCATGTGGCCAGGTGCCCCATTTTTATATCAGAGGTGGCAACAGCGGTCTTCTCACTAACATCTGCTCTGTCAATCCCAACCTGATCCTGGTCCTGAGCTAATGGC